GAGGATGAGGAAGTGTCAGGACTCTAGGGGGGGAGCCTTTCCTTGAAGTCAGGTAGCGAGGGGAAAGCTGGGCGGCTTCCTCAAAGGGAAACAGTGGGACCCCCTGTCCTGTCACATTCCTGGGCCCTGATAGCCTTCCCCTGGGGAGGGGTGCGCCTGGACGAGAGAGACCCTGCACGCTCACCCGCACGATTCCCGGCACCCACGAGCACCGGCGTCCCCAGAACACACAGACGGGGCATTTACCCAAGCCTGTGTCCCCTCCACCGCACGCCGACACCGACCTCGTGCACACTCACACATGTCTCGCGCTCACCGGGCGATGTTAACATCTCATTATCTTTGTTACTGTAATTACATTATCCGCTGCTTTATGCAGAATTATCCTCCGAGGACTAATTGATGGCTCCATGTTTAATTCATTAATCATTAGCATCAAATTCGACAATTACAGTGCACACTGATTGTGGGATTGCAGGCGTAATGAGGGGAGAATTAACAAAGAAAAGGGAAAGCACTTTCCCTCCCTCGGGGGTTTTGAGTTGGGGGGCTCGGGGAGGAAGTTGGGCCTGTGATGTCTTTGGGTGGGGCTGGGGACGAAGCAGGGGTAAGATTTGGAAGCCAGGAGGGGATGGGAGCGGGAGAGGGGTAGGGGGAAGCGAGGTCTCTGAGAATTTAGGAACTGCCTATGCCGCCCCGGAGGGTCTCCTGCCAGGGAGCGAGGGTGCCCCGGGAAGGGCCGTTTGCAGGGAGCTGTCAGCCCAGAGTGGCAGGGGGGCGGGATTGTGAAGAGAAAGTACCGGCATGTTGCCTCGAGGGGGATGGGGGGGACGGGGAGTGGGGCAGACCAGCAGGCAGTGTTGGCACCACACGGATATTAATAGGCACTTACGGAGCGTCTGGTCCTGCCTCGGGTGTCACGAATACAAGAGAAACACAAAACTTGCCTTCCACCTTTCGGCATCGCACCGTCCCCAGAGCACGAGGGGTGTCTGGCCTGTTTCTTTACCTTCTAGTGGCTTCAGCCCAGAGCTTCCCATCCCTCGGCTTCCAGAAACTCCGCCCGTGTGTTCCCGGGACTGGTGGAAGCCTTGACTTTTGATGCTTGCTCTTCCACCGTGTCCGGCCCCGGGCCCTGTCTCTGCCTCCTTACTAACCTCCAGCGCTCGGCCGCCTCTGCTTTTCCAGCACCTCGGGCGTGGTCCACCTGTCCTCAGACTTCCCGTCGCCATTGCCCTCTGGCCTCAGTCCCCATGCTTAGGTGGCCTGAGGTGAGAGGGCAGCGGAGGCCCCGTGGCTGTCCCCGCGGGCTCTCTTTGAGGGACTCCGCGCCGAGGGAGTCCGGCGGGAGTTGTGAGGGCATGCGAGGCCCTCCTGCCCTGGCCTTGGACTCCTGAGCCTTTGGTTCCCCTTGGCTCTGCCATTCCTCCCTGATGGGAAACGAAAGATTAATTTTCTCCAGCCCAACAGGATAATTACTAATACTAATTAGACATAATTACTTGAATTTGATACACTTATTTCTCGTCGGAATGGCACCAAAGCTGAGGCAAAGCAAATGGCACGTGTGGACTAGAATGCAGGGTGCAGGGGCCCGGTCAGGAGGGGAAGGGGGCCGGGGCCGGTGGCCAGGCGAGGAGCACCGTGGTCATGGGGGTGTGGGGACCCCGTGCCCCGCTCTTCCGGCTACAGGAAGCGGGCAGGGGCGGACGTGCTCTTCACGGAGAGGGGTGTGAAACGTGGGACCAGCTGCCTCCCGAGCTGTGGAGGGCCCGGGTGAGGCCTCTGGGTCTCCAGCACGCCTGGCCCGGTACCTGGCAAAGCCCTCGTTTCCGGTCAACATTCTGCTAGAATTTCGCACGTTCTGCCCTTAGCCCTACTTTCAGGAAAGTCTGTGTGCCCCTTCCCCAGCCTCCCTTCCCAGTCTGACCCTTCCCCCCCCCCCCCACCCCCAGGTGCCCCCTACACGGCCAGCAGCCCGGCCTGGGCTGGCCCTCGCCCTGAGGGGCTGCACCAGCGCTCCTGCTCCGTTTCCAGCGCCGACCAGTGGAGTGATGCCCTGCCCCCAGGTACGCAGGACCCTGTTCAGCGACACAGAGGAGGGCAGCCAGGCAGCGTCCGCAGCCTGGGAGGCTGTGTTGGGATGGTGCCCAGGCCAAGGGGAGGGGCCCGGCAGAGCGCTGCGGGGCCAGCGCTGGGTGGTCTGAGAAACGCCGCCGTAGCCCTTGCCTTCTCCAGCAACCAAAGGCCGCTTCGTGCCCGTCTACCCCTTTGCTGCCCCCGGGCCCTGCCTGTGGCTGGCTGGTGCCGGAGACCTTCCCTCTGCAGCTCGTCTGCCCACCCACCGCTGTCCCCAGGCAGCGCCGGTGGCGCCTCCCGCATCCCCATCAGCCCCCTGCGCAGCCAGCTCATCAGCCTCACCGCGGGGGGGACAGGGAAGCGGCGGAGTAGGGGGGTCGGAGGCTGGGGGCTTTGAACGCGATTGGAAGGCGGCAACTCTCCTACCGCGGAGAAGGGGGTTCCTAGAGGTAGGATCCAGGATCCGGACAGTTTTCCCCGGCCTGCTGCTGGACAGGCTGAGGCCCCATCCCGTGTAGCTGGTCGGAAATTCGGCCTTCTCTCCGCCATCCCACCCGCCTTCCGCCTTCCTTCCTCTTCTTCCCCTTTTGTCCATTTTTGTGCCTTGCTCACATCCCGACTCTCCCTTCCCCTTATTTCTTCTCCCTGCCTCTTCAGTGAGCACCACCACCACACACACACACACACACACACACACTGCCCTTCCCCCCTTCCTCCCCCAGTTTCTCTCCCCCGTATCCTAACCCTCCGGTCACAGCTCAGCAGTTCTGCAGATTGAAAGGGAAATGGGCACACGGCTGCTCTCCTCTCCCAGGTAAGGGTGTGAGGGAAGCAGGACAGTCCAGGGTGTTCCCTGTCCCGTCAGAAGCCCAGGCAAAGCTGTTCCTCCCACTTTGCCTCAGGCGGGGCAGCAGTGCCTGGCTGGCCCAAGGCCCATCAACTCTTTTCCCCACGTGCCTCCCAGGAGCCCCTCACGGGCTCCCATCCCCCTCGAAGCACTAACCCCCTAACCCCCTAACCCCCCGTCTGAGCTCTGCCGGCAGGAAAGAACTGGGTGCTCACAGCACAGGGGATCTCCCCCACCTCCTGCTCCAAGTGCAAGCGCCCCTGGGGGCAGTGACCACGGAGGGTTGGAGAAGGGGAGCTGAGGGCGCTTCCCAGAGTCACTGTCCTGACGGCCTGGGGCCCCTCTGTTGAGTCTGGAAGGAGGAAGGCAGGGAGGGAGGGAGCGTGTCTGCCTCTAATGAAGTTTGACATTTAGTGGTGAGCGCCGGGCGGGGTGTGGGAGACGGGAGCTTGATTAGCGCGCTCTAATTGACAGTAATTAGGCAGCTCCCTGATTGTTTCTAATTCTGCTATTAATTGTGAGGAGCGGGGAGTGTGATTGAGGATAAATTTGGTGCGGAGCTGCTGGGGCTTCAGCTCCCTGTGAGTTCCCTGGGCCGCCTTCCACCCCTCCGGGCTGCCAAGGCCCTGGCCGCCCTGCCCTAGCCGCCGCCGCCGACGATGCCTCCTTGCCTTTAATCCGAGTTCCCCACACTCTTCTCCCTTCACCTTCTTCTCCTTCAAGGCTGGGGGAGCTCTGGGATTGGGACCGGCCGGCAGCCCCCTCCCCGGGGCTCTCCCAGGGTGGTCCAGCTGCAGTTCAGGGTGGAGCTCCCAGTGGCACGAGGCAGGTCTCGCGCTCCCTCCCTCTTCCCACACTTCTCCAACTCTCCCCTCACCAGCCAGTGGCCCAGCTGAGGTGCTCAGTTCCAGCCCCAAGCTGGAGCCTCCCCCATCTCCCCACTCCAACCGGAAGAAGCACCGGCGGAAAAAGAGCACCGGGACCCCCCGACCAGACGGCCCCAGCGGTGCTGCTGAAGGTTAGGGGGACCTAGAGGGAAACTGGGGCACAGGAGGTGGGCTGTGGGATTTGGGGATAGTACCCTAAAAGCAACACCATTCTTAACATGTTTAGAGGAAGCGTTTTGTAATAATAATTAGCAATAACCATAGTTCCACAACTTCTTTTGGTAATCTAGACCCAGGATCTTAGAAAAGCGCTTTCTTCTGCCTAATTTAAACCCTTTCTACTAAAACGTGAGCTTCTCTCTTATTCCCTGTAGAAGGTAAAAGACGGCAGGCGGCTACTCCAATAGCCCTTCCAAGACTCGTGGGCAGGACCTATGCTTTCTGTGTCTCTTGTATCAGCCATTGAGTTTCCTGAGTGCCGGGCACATAACTGGTGCTTGATACGTGTGTCTTAGCTGGCGAGGTCTCTCCTTAGTCGTCTTTAAGCTAAGGAATTCCAGCTCCTCGAGTGTTTTCCACGGGGCCTTTCTCATAATTTGGCGTTGATCATGGCACTTCTCTGATTTTCTCCCAAAGTATCTTCAAAGTGTTCCTCTTCTCAGTGGTTGAAGTCTCTTTGCTCCCAGATAAGTTGAACTTCTCGATGCGTAGTGGCTCATTTCCGCTCCGACTGTCAGGGATAGGGGTGTGGGTGGAGATCACCTCTAGGGGAAAGAGCCGCCCTTCCCAGCCTACCGTGGTGTAGTGATGCTTAGCACGCGTGGCAGGGGACCCAGGTACCCAGGAACTGAGCCCCACAAAGGGCCGGGTTTGTGCAGTTCAGAGGCTGTACCGAGAGCAAGGTGAGGTGGAACGGTGGAGCCTGGGGAAGGAAGGGTACCAGCGTTCTTGTTCTAGGAGGCGGTTTCTGTTAGAGGTGCCCTTAGAGCAGGAGCCCAGCAGGAAGACGCCCAGGGAATGGGTGTCACTGAGGCGAGAGGCGGCCCCCGGGGCAGAACCTGAACTCTGGCCTTGGGCCTCCCCACAGGTATCTGAGTTGTCTCTCCAGCCCCCAGGACACATTCAGTCTCGGTGCTCGTTAGGAGTCGTTCACCCGTAGGGTGGCTGACCGCTGGGAATGAGATTTGTGTCGCTGTCTTCTGTTGGCCGAGAGGAGCAGAGCTTGGAACAGCTTCACCACGTCGCTTGGGGTCGCGGTCCGGCCTACAGCGCGGGGCACCACGGCTGTCCTCAGGTCCCTTTCCGCTCACACATCCCAGTTTGTGGGGACAACCTCGCCTCCTCTCCCCATCCACTTGTCCTTCCTGCCTCTCTCTGCCAGGGTAGCGGGGGAGGGGCCCGGCTCCCAGGAGCCCCACGCTGACGCCGTCAGGAATATTGGGTTTAATGAGCTGCAAAATGAGGCGGCTGCAGCTGACATGTACGGATGGTGCCCGCACCCGCCTTCCCCCACCCTCTCCCAGCGTCGCCTCCTAGCACCCGTCGCATCCTTCTCCAAACACCCCGCTCTGCTCCGGGAGGCGCCCTGCTCCGAATTCCAGGCCCATTCCTGGCAGTGCCAGCCAGGGATGCGAAGACCTTGCACCCTGTCTTTACCGAGGCGCCACAGGTGGTCGGGAAGAGGGGTTTGAGGGCTGCTCCGCACTCGTGGGCTTGGCCTTGGAGGCTGGGGTGGGGGGAAGAGGATGAGAGCCAGGCAGGCAGGAGAGCGGATGGAGCTGTGGCAGCGGGGCGCCCTCCCTGATGGTGGCAAATATCCCTGTCCCCACAGAGGCGGAGGAGTCCTTCGAGTTTGTGCTGGTGTCCCTCACCGGGCAGACGTGGCACTTCGAGGCCTCGACAGCGGAGGAGCGGGAGCTGTGGGTGCAGAGCGTGCAGGCCCAGATCCTTGCCAGCCTGCAGGGCTGCCGCAGCGCCAAGGACAAGGTTGGCACCGAGGCCCGGTTGGGGTGGGACCCAAGGTGGCCTGGTGACTGACCGCCCCCCCCCCCGCCCCGCCCCCGGTCTCTCCCGCTGTGCAGACTCGCGTGGGGAACCACAACGCGGCCCTGGCCGTGCAGGCCGTTCGCACTGTTCGCGGCAACAGCTTCTGTATTGACTGCGACGCCCCCAGTGAGTGTGGAGGCCGGCGGGGCTGGGGTCGGGGTGGCTTTGGGAAAGCCTGACGAGAGCCTTCCGGTGGGCCACCAGAGGGGACCTCCCTGGTGGTCTCACGCTGGTTGCCCGTGGACTTCATGCTGCTTCCTCCCCTCGCCTAGATCCAGACTGGGCCAGCTTGAACCTGGGTGCCCTGATGTGCATTGAGTGCTCAGGGACCCATCGACACCTGGGGGCTCACCTCTCCCGCGTCCGCTCCCTTGACCTCGATGACTGGCCACCCGAGCTGCTGGCTGTCATGACCGCCATGGGCAATGCCCTGGCCAACAGTGTCTGGGAGGGGGCCCTGGATGGCTATGCGAAGCCCGGGCCCGACGCCTGCCGGTGAGTGGATGAAGGGGGGGGCCCTGCGGCTGGCCAGAAAGGGAAGGGACGGTGGTGCCCAGGTATGGGGAAGGTCGGGATGGTGCTGAGTAGCTGCAGCCGTGCTCCAAGGGTTAAAACTGGCTGTTGCTCTGCTCGGCAGTTGGCCCCTTGGGGTGCCCCTCCCCCTCCCCGCCTGTCACTCAGGCTCCTCACAACAAGAGGCCCTTTCTGAGCCTTATCAGCAGGTCAGGGGCCAGCAGGAGGCGCATGCGCAGGGCCCTATCGCTCTGTGGCGTGAAGGCCCTAGCCTGAGCTCTGAGATGGGGAGAATGGGTGGGAGATAGGATAGCGCACGGGCCCCTAGTGTAGGCCCCCCACCCCCTTTGTTCCAGCAGGTCCGGATAAGCTACCACGGGAGCCCTGCCTGGAATCTTCCTGCCCTCTCAGCCCCCTACATCCCTGCTGCCCCCGAGGGGCCTCTCTTCAGTGTTCCTCCCTTTCAGCCTCTTCCACACCCTTTGCATTACCCGCTCTGTGCCGTCCGTTCCTTAGGTTTGTCTCTCCACTGCCCCGTCCTATGCCCTGTCTCTGCCGATTCCCCTCTCGGGGTGCTCCTGCCATTTCCTGACCACCCTCCCCAGCCCCCGCCCGTTGGCTCATGCCTCGATGGACCTGTGGTTGCAGAGAGGAGAAGGAGCGCTGGATACGGGCCAAGTACGAACAGAAGCTCTTCCTGGCCCCGCTGCCGAGCTCGGACGTGCCGCTGGGACAGCAGCTGCTCCGGGCCGTGGTGGAGGACGACCTGCGGCTGCTGGTGATGCTTCTGGCCCACGGGTCCAAGGAGGAGGTGAACGAGACCTACGGCGACGGGGATGGGCGGACGGCTCTCCATCTCTCCAGCGCCATGGCCAACGTCGTCTTCACACAGCTGCTCATCTGGGTGAGTTGTGGGCTCCCTCCTTGCCTTGCCAGGGCCACCCTCGAAGGCTCCTCTGACCTACCTGATCTCCGTTCTGCCCCCAAGAACCCACACCTTCCTTGCCATGTCGTGCCAACTGTGAAAATGTGCTTCCTTCTGCAGTATGGGGTGGACGTGAGGAGCCGGGACGCCCGGGGCCTGACTCCGCTGGCCTACGCCCGTCGGGCCGGTAGCCAGGAGTGCGCGGACATCTTGATCCAGCATGGCTGCCCTGGGGAGGGCTGTGGCTTAGCACCTACCCCCAACAGAGAGCCTGCCAATGGCGCCAACACCTCTGCTGAGCTGCACCGAAGTCCTAGCCTTCTATAAGGCCCAGGAAGAGGGCACAGGGGCCAGAAGGACTCCATGGCCTGGGGCCCCTCCTCCCTACACGCACTGGGGGGAGCCAAGACAGAGAAAGGAAGGAGGAGAGGAAATGAGGAAGAGTCAAACAGAAGAGGAGCCAAATGAGAAAGACAGAGGGACCAGAGGAGACATCTGGGATTTGAGCTGCAGCAGAGGGGGAGTGGAGGTATTTTAGCCCTCTACCCCACGGTGCCACTGAAAAGGGACAGGACCCTTTGGAGGTACCTGTGAGGAGAGGGGAGCAGGACCTCTCCCTCCTCCAGATTCCTACCTTCTCCTGCCAGCCCCCTGCAAGCCTTCATCCTAAAACGGAGCCTGGACGGATAGGGCACAGGTTGGGGGGTGCTGGATGAAAGAGACGAGGGGGTGATCTGTGAGTCCGTGTAAATTTGTACATTGGAGTATTTATGTTTGTGTACATATCTGGTGTGTGTGATGAGCCAGTAAACCAGACTGTGTGTGGCCTTGTTTTCCCCTTTTATGTCTCTGCCCTTCCAGAAAGGTCCTTCAGCCCTACTTCTTGGTGCTGTCTTCGGTCTGTACTCTGGGACTTCCTCCTCTCTCGGTTGGCCTGAGGCCCTGAGGTCTCTGCTCAGGCCACTACATGCGTTTCCTTTGGCCCTTTCCTGCCAGCAGCGTAGTTGAGTTTGTGGGTAGCACTGGCTTCGAACCCCGAAAGGAGGTACAGAGCTTTGTGCTTCCTACTGGAGGCTTTCTGCTGCTTCCCCTCCTCACATGCCCCACCCCTACCCTCAGAAAGGTTTTCCGGCTGGTCTCCAGTAACCTCATGCCACACCTGGTGCTGGCCAAAGTGCACCCAGAAGGAGGACAGAAGTGTCGTCCTCTTTCCTAAGAGTCTGGGAAGTAGCTCACACAGCCAGACCTACGGGGAGACGCTCAAGGCGCAGGAGAAGAGTTCTGAGGAAGCCACAAGGGCAAGTGGCTGGACTTTACTAGGGCAGCACTGCCGCGGGGACTCAGGCCTCGGCTTTGCTTTTGAGGAGAGGCGAGGAGGTAGGTCACTGATGGTAGAACCACCACCTGGATTCCCACCAACATCCTGCCGAGCTGGGGGCAGAATCCTGAGCTCCTGTTTCTCCCTCTATCCCTCATCCTAGAAAGACCTGAGGGAAACCCCTCTATACCTATTCTTGAAGGATGAGAACTTGCAAAGTTAAGGTCCCTGCTCTCCAAGGAGCCCGTTTTCCCATCCCTACAACCGCTTTGCTGGTGGCCCCGTCTTTCTCCAATACTTAATGAGTGTACCCTGGGTGGGGGTGGGGGGGGGTTGGCACTCTGATGGGAACCCACCTAAGTGCAGGTAGATAACTCAGCAAATGCTAAGTAAATGCTGTTCAGAGAAGAAACCAGATTGTATTATAAGAGCCTTAGGCAAAGATCAGGGTAGAACAGAAATAGGGCCTTTGGTATGTATAAGAAGGGGCTCCTGGGCTCAGAAACATACTAGCAATAATCAACTTTCTTATTTTCCCTAAGGAAAACAAGCTGCTTAACTGGCTGAGTACTGTCCAGTACAGTTTAGGAGGCTTCATAGTAAATCCAGAAAAAAATGGCAAATCAGGGCCTCGGTTTCCCCCCGGCCTCCTTCCCTCAGGCACAGCACCAGAGAACGTCTGCTCTAGCCCTAGACCTGTGGACATGAATTCCCGACCGCCAAAGTGACAGTAGCGCCTGTGATCCTCAACCACTGCCTGGCCTGGCCCCTAAAAAGCATCTAATCTCATAGGTTCCCTTCGTGGGCAGAGACAGCCTCAATCTAGATCAGGAATGGGGCTGGTCCGGACTACTTTTTTTAACCTAATTTTCAAGCCTTGCTGGATTTTAGCCAAATAGCAGCCTGGACCCCTGCATCCGAGCTGGGGAACCGCGACCCTGTTGCGAATAACCGGTCACAGCCCCGGCTTGCTGTTTGGTTGCCGAAACCAGCTAGGAGAAAGGAACTGCCAAGGAAAGCCTGTCTTCATCATACGAGGCGCTCAGCAGATGTTTGAGTAAATACTGGTTGGCCTGCCATCCTAGGAATCAGGAGTAGCAGCCGTTTTCTAAGGAAGGTGAGGGGGCCGGCCAGGTATTTGAGCCTGTATTTCCCTCCCTGACCTTAATCTTCTGAGCGTCCTAGCCTCACTCCTCGCTCTGCCCATTTTTCTTCTCGGCGGCTCTGTTCTCTCCCCTAGCTGTCCTCCCAGATCAGTGCAGGTCAGGTTTCTTCCCAAGAAGCCCCGCTTACCATGATCCCAACTTCAGCTGGTTTCTGTAATAATCCTCTTTCCCCAGTGTCTGTGCAGGCGTGTCTGTGCAGCCCCGCTCCACAGTTGGTACAGGATAGTAGCCCTTCTGTGAAGGTGGGGGAAATGGCAAATAGCTTTAGTTTGTCTTCTTTCGCTCACGGGATACCCGGTTTCTTGCAAGTGCCCCTGAAGTCTCTTATCCTCACGTTTACTTGGTCCCCCTAACTAGCTCTTAGAATCCCAACCCCCAAGCTCCCAGGTCCGATCTCTGTAGCTTCTCCTATAGTACACACGTCCAGAACCATCATTCCTTCCTGCCTCATCCGTTTTGCAGGGGGGGGCCTCTCAACCAATGTCGTTTCATAACGGAAGAGGATTTGGTACCCCAACCTTGGTAAAACACGCGATGGGGAGGAGGAGACACCGGTTAACGCAGTACGAACAGAGAACCAGAAAGGAGTCGTGCTCCGGGCCCTCACATCTGAAATACCAAAGCGCGGCAGAGATGGACCAAGCTGCTGCGTCCTTTGCCCGGAAAAAGTAATGAGCTCGCGGATGACGGTGCACCCCCCAAACTGCCCTGCCTAGTCACTGACGGGACTGCCAGCGTCTACCTAGTTGGGGCCTGGCCGTACGCCAGCTAAATAAACTAGGGTCAAGTACTCATTTTCCCTCGTAACGCAAAAGGGAGTGGATCTTCTGTTCTCAAGTCTGCCAGCTCTTCCAAAGAGAAGAAAGCAGAGATGAAGAAGCTTGCCTGTTTAATGGGTGAAGAGAAAAGAAGCGTCGTGCTGGGAACGTGAGGCCTGGGTGCGGACTGTGGGAGGTACCGGGACGGGAAGGACAGAAGTGAAGGTAGTTTACATGGGGGGAGATGGTGCGAGCCGAAGGTTTTCTAAGGAGGCCGGTGACAGTTTCATTCTGTTTCTTTGCATGCCCTTGCGCTACAGACAGGCCAGACCGCGCCCACAAGGCAGTAAGAGGGAACTGAACTCTGGCTGATGATGACGGAACATCGACCTTCCCAGTCTCTCTCAGGGGTGCAGACAGACAGACAGAGGCAGATAGCTCCATATATACAAACTTTACAGAAAATAAATAAGGAGCTGTGATCAGCTTGGCTAGGCATCACCCTGGATTCTTTCCACCCCTGTGAGAAGTAGTCCCAGGGCATTAGTGGGAAGCTTTCAGGCCCCTGGCGGGTAAGAACCCACCCCCTCCCCAGGAGTCCGTCTCCCCCCGCCCACAACAGCTCCGCAGTGATGAGGACTCAAGCCCCCTTAACTCTGAAGCCCCCGGTCTGAGGATCCCTGGAATAGGCTCAGGGCCAGGGGCCCAGGTCTCAGGTTGCCAGCAGAGCGTACCTAGCGCTAAGTTAGTTGCCGACGGAGCCCTCTCCCAGGGCAGCATCGTGGCAGCAGCCCCGCTGGTCCGCAGAACCCTAACCCAGTCTCAGAGCAGGCCCGGGGACAGATCGGCTGCCTTCCAGGATCCTTGGGAGCCCCTTCAGGGCCGGGCGCCCTGTTCCATTTGTTGGTGCTGGCTCCGTACCGCAAACCTGTTGACATGCACAGGTATGGGGACAACAATCTTGGGGTTTCTCACGGGCTCCCCGGAACGGCTGCTCACGTTGCCAGCTTTGATGCGCTTCCACTTGGCCCGCCGATTCTGAAACCAGATCTTGACCTGCACCTCACTGAGCTTGAGGGCGTGGGCGATCTGGGAACGCTCTGTCAAGCTCAGGTATTTCTTGCAGTGGAACTCCTTCTCCAATTCCAAAAGCTGCTCACTGGTAAATGCCGTGCGGCGCCGTCGGCTTTTGCCCCCGGGAGCTGTGACTCCAGCTGCCACTGGTGCCCCCTCCTCAGCTCCAGTCCCCAGGCTTCCCTTTAGCTTCGGTGTAGGTCCCAGGAGAGCCCCTGGGCCCCCTGCAGAACTGTCCAGGAAACCGTCGTCCTCGCTGTCACCGCCTGAGCCCTCTTCCTCCTGTTCGCTGCCTGCCGGGTCTCCTGCTGGTGCCTCCAGCTTCTCCTCATCTGAGCTGTACACCTTCCCCTCTGCTGTGGGGAGCGAAAACCAACGGGTGGGGAAGGAGCAGGCAAGGAAAAGGCAGACAGGTTGGAGGAGGCACACGGAACCAGGGCCGGGCACGGACAGGATGACGGCAGGAGGGCACGAGACGTGGAAGGGAGGAGATGGGGAGGAGGGGAGACAAGGACGGCACATCCAGGACATGGGGTGGGGAAGAGGTTCAGGGAAGACAAAGAGATGGAAAGAGAGCTATTAACCAGCACAGACTTCACTACAGCAAAGTGGGGGGAGGCAGTCAGTGCGTATCAAAGGAATGTCATTCCCAGGACTGTGACCCGACTTTACCCCCCCCCCCCTTTCTCCCTACCCACTACCTTCCCAGCTTTCTCCAAACCCAGACCAAGCACTTTCCACTCCTTCACCACCCCTCCAGATCCAGACTGCACAGCCTCAGGCCCTAGAATGAAGCAGTGTGGGACCCGGCCTAGGAGCCTTTCCGTTACTATGGGCAGGAGGAAGCCGTGTAGAAGGATGCGCTTCTGCAGGATAGAGGGGGGACATCACACTGCGGCCTTTGTTACTCTCCTAGGAATCCTCACCCGCCCCAAGTGCTAAACTGTCTCCCCACCTTCCCTCTTCCCTAGATCTAGAATCTTAGAATCTCATTTCCAGATGGAAGCCTAA